ATTTTAAATATAGTTTTATATAATATATATACGGAACTCTAAATATAAATATGTATATGAATGATCATTAATTTTTGGATCCCCCGCTGTGCTTCAAGATACCAGAATATGAGCTCATGCCAATAGTATTGTGGTATTACAGTCCCTTAAAGTGTATCTGAGTTAATACTGCATACAAATTTTTTTTGACCCACCTTTCATGCAGGAGGCCGCGGGTTCAAAACCTGGCAAGTACCAATGTGATTTTTCAGAGTCATGTGTAGAGTACACTAAGAATATTTAGACACTACTAACAGTTGAAGGAAAACATCGTAAGAAAACCTGGACTTATAATTTCACAATTATAAGTTTGGAATCACCAACCCGTCTTGAGCAAGCGTGGTGATTAATGCTCAAATCTTCTCCATGTGGGAAGAGGCAGCTCAGCAGTGGGCTCTGATAGGCTGATGATGATGATATACAAATAAACCACACAATAGATAAATCTCGAATACTCAAACATTAATGAGAATCAATAAAATAGTATATGTAATATTAATAAACATTTTTATTAGCCATAAACTTTATATCCTCTTATTGTAATATTTAATTTTAACTTCAGTTAGATTCGTTCAGGAGTTATTGTTTTATAATCGAACAGACAATGGACACGTTTGATTAAAATTTTCATTATGTTTAAAAGATATTAAGCGATAAATATATATACATATATATTCCCAAAGAGGGTTGATGTCAGGCAGGCGGCCGGTCGTAAAAACAATTAGCCAAAACTATTCACAACATGTAAGGCAGACCCTGGCTAAAGCTGGGGAATTGCCAGGAAGAAGAAGACACATATATTCACTGCTTAGTCCTTATATTAACATCATAATTATATGTTCCTAGCCAAATGTATGTATATATATGTATATATATATAATTACAGAGATTCTATATCTCGCAGACGAAGTCGGGTGTCAAACTAAGTGATAGAATCATCCAGAAGAGACAAATTTACTATTAATACCGATAATCATATTTAATGATACATTAAATTTAAATTTTATATTTTAAATACGACCGCACTGACGTATTTAGTAAGGAAATATAAATTGTTTCTTAATAGCCAAAGATTAATTAATTTTCTTAGAAACTATCTTTATTTATCTTTATTTTTATCTTATTTATTACCTTTTATATTATATTTTTTCTTTCATGCCATAATAAAAAGCAACAGATTATTCATAATGGCGCAGTCATATTTCGGCGCGAAAATCCTTTGACGACAAATGTATTGGAAATAATTCGCTTTTGGATAAGGGAAATACGATTTATATAATTAGGGCCATTTAGAATTTTGTGTACGAAGTTTTCGCGACATATTTAAAATTTCTGCTTATAAAGGAGGTTTTAATGTACATTAAACATTATTTAAATATACTATTATATATGTTCTAATATATAATATACCTACTAATATTATAAACGCGAAAGTAACTCTGTCTGTCTGTCTGTTACGCTTTCACGCCTAAACCACTGAACTGATTGTAATGAATTTTGGTACAGAGATAAAATTGACTTTGAGAAAGAACATAGGATAGTTTTTATACCAGACTTTTGAAATGTTCTCTTGGAAACGCGATATAACCGAACTCCACGCGGACGAAGCTGCGGGTGGAAAGCTAGTATTCTATATTTATATAATCTATGAAAAATAATTGGTACTTTGATTCATAGAAAAACTAATTTAAGTTTTTGGATAACAAATAAACGAACACATTTTAAATGTCCACACACCAAAATCAATATGTTATTATCTTTAAGAAATTCCAACGTTACTAACAAATTGATCATTACTTTAATTTGATATACATTGACAGTTTACTACCAGAAATAAATTGAATCGAAAATATTTTGATTTGTAACGAGCAATGGATGTAACAGTGTATATCTTATCATATATCAATATTTATTCTTGTACAATACAATATAATTTTTAAATCTATATCTTTAAGTATATTTGCATATATGTTATCACTAAGATATAGTTTTTCATAGAAAATGAAGTAATTTTATTAAAAATATATTAATATGTTTGCTTCTATCACTAAAAAACTAGGAAACTAATTGGAATTTTTACTATAACTATAAATAAATAAGTTATTTTACTAACCCAGTTTATATATATTATTATAGAGGCATTAAAATAACAAATATCAAAGATTTTCTGAACCAGGTAGATCTATGAATGAGCGGCTACCTGACTTGTATACGGACAGACAAAAAAAAATTTAGTATTGAGTATTATATAAAAAAACGTAATATATAGAAGTTTTATCTCTTATGAGACATAAGTATTTAAATAGTAAACATATCATAAGTATAAAAAGGTATTTATATTAAATTTTCGCTTTGAAAAATATTTTTTCTTTTGTTCTAAGCGTAATTATTATTTTATTTTAATTCAATATATTCTTGTATTTTGGTTCCATTGTAACTATGAAATTGTCGGTTTTATTCAAACTTGTAGCAAAGACACACACACACACACAGACACACACACACACACACAATCAAAGCCAACAATGATATCTTCAAACAAAACCCAATATTAAAGTTAAAATTCTGGTTATTTATTGATCTGTGAACATAACCCCAGAATCGTTTAGTTATGGTCTACTGTGTAAGACATTCGAAGGTAACTGAAGTGATTAAGATGCAGTTAAATTTAACCACGATAAGAAAAATATATGAAAAACATAATTGTTTCTTATAAAATATTTAATATGTTGTATAAATGGATAAGTTATTTTTTTTGGGTTAAACCTAAATTTTTCATCTAAAGCTTTAGATTTTTTCTTGAATTAAATTAGTCTATAAAATATATATTATTTTTTAACAAAAAAAATATAAAGCATACTTCCCCTTAACTCTAAGTAGTTACAGTTGGTTGATCGCCCCAAATATAATATACCCAACATATAAACTTTTAGTTAGTATTCAAAATGTTTAATTTAGATAAACGATTAAGCGGCGTCTGTAGCGGCCTGACTTTGGATGGGTGACCATGGTTCTTGTGTCATGAAAAGAACATTGCTTCACTTCAATATATATATATATATACATATAATTATATAGGTACAGGTATATTGTATTATACAAATACAGAATAATACGATGTAACTATCAGTCTTTAGGGAAAAGATGCAATCTCATACTACGGAAAAGAAATCAAAAAATTTATACCATGTATAATGAAGTATAGTATAGACTAGTCTAGACTAAATTAGATAGACTAGACTAGTCCAGTCCAGCGATTCCAAAATGCAAAATAAGCCTAAGTAAAATTAACCAAACTTCTAATTCAAATAAGTTTTTAAGTTCAATATTTTCTGAGTCATTATAAAAAATCGTAATATTATTACCGTATCCGATACATTTCAGAAAAACAAGATTTATGTATGAATACATAAACCAGTTAAAAAAAATACCATACATACATACATGTCTTTCTAAGCGATGTTTAAACAAATTTTCGCTTTTATAATAAAAGTTTTAACGCGCACTTAACAACAAATTTCCTACAATAAGTCGTAAAAATAATCACCCATTGTACTGAACTGCTTCGGGCATATCAGCGACTGACGATCTAGGACACTGGAAGTGAAAGAAATTATATATTATTAAAGAAAAGGATAATATTAATATTATATATATAAGAAGAATATTTTATTTATATGTATATTAGTTTTTACTTGCGATTTCGTCTCTTTAATTTCGGAATTAGTAATATATGTATAGCTTTCTGGGCGAACTCTATTCCGTCTTAGAGGCTATAAATAAATAGATATTGGAGTTTATTAAGTATTTTCTGTTTCGATCGAACAGAAATAAATATCCTATGTCCGTCTCCTTGTTCTAATCTATCTCTCCACCAATTTTCAACCATATTCCTACAGCTATAGAGTTATAAATAGTGTAACTAACACGATTTTCTTTTATATGTAGGACAGATCTAGTTGTTTTATATCTTCGTCACTGATCACGGTATGTTTAAAACAATAAGTCGTATATAATATTGGAGGCGAACTAACTTTCACCGATCTTACGATTTCATTGAAGAAGGTTTTACCGATACCCTGAGTTATTTGTACCGCAAGTATGACAAAAAACATAATATAATAGTTTTTGGGCAAAATTTTCTTTATTATTATTATATAACACGCATTTGTATTGAAGAATTGACATTAATATCAAAAATTTAACTATTTTAATAAGTTATTTTTCGTGCAAAGTAAGACTATAACCAGAAATATGTATCAAAAGACGAAATGAGTCTATATTCTTGTTAAATATTAAATTATTATTATATTATACTATCAGAAAATAAGCATAAAATATAATTTAAATAAAAATTAATACAAATATTCCTATATTATAAACACAAATAAAATAATAATTATGTTAAATTTAAATATTCCTATACATAATATATGTCAAACGTTGAGAGTTCCCATCAATATCTGATTACATGAACATCAAAAACTAATATGAAAACCTACATCTTCAGTAGACAGAGCAAAACGACTTCCGATTAGAAAAACTATCAAATAAATGCTATTGAAAAACAATACTTTAATCTATTTTAAACCTTTTTGCTATAAAGATAAGGTGCATAAATTTTTTGGGTGGACGAAAATAGATTTGTAGAAATGAAATCACATACGTGTGCAATGAATCTGTGCAGTTTCGATTTTTTTTTCCTGCAGAATTGTGAATCGGTACGTAATCGAGTTCAGAGTGATTTCGGTAGCAAAGCTGTTGATTGATTTTGAATGAATGATTGTTTAAAAGAATGAATGAACTACTTAATATTACGTATAAAAAAATTAAATCAATTTTCTAAAAATAGGTTTTATATATTAGTAACAACAATGTCTATGCTCTGTTAGAAAATGTGACGTACATCAAATATCATTAACAAAATTCTGGTTAAAAAATTTTAAGCATTCACAAATGAAATGGTGGCAAAATTCTGTAATTGTATAGAAGATAAGTATAAACAAAAACAAAAACATCTAGACAAGTTTGAGGAAAATAATTACACGGATTTGTACGTGATCGGTAAAATTTGGATTGACGCACTGAAAATATGTCTAACAGGGGCTGATGTGGATATATTTCCTAAAGTAGAAGCTGCGAAAGCTGAAGAAGGACCTCCAAAAAAACCTCCTCCGATGAAGCTATCAGAACTATCGATATATAAGAGTCCGTACAACGATTACAAAGACTATGAAGAAGATAAGGAGAAAAGTCCCGACAGAAAGGTTAAAATACTGCATCAATCATTACTACCGCACGTGAAAAATATTAAACAAGAAGTTAAGAAGAATGCGTGTGGAGGATTATGCTTCGTGAAGTCAAATGTTAACAAAGCATTGGACACTTTGAAGGAAATCAAAAATAATTTCAAAAAAACCATGCGAGATCCCGATAATTTGGCCATCAGACAAGGCGTTGTAGCCAGTGGTGGGTTCTTGGGTTTTATGCTTGGAAGTGGCGGTGGAATTACGAGGCGACTTCTCTACACTAGCGCTGGCCTTTTAACAACCGGAGCGTTATGCTTCCCAAAGGAAACTGATGAAACATTCAGAAACACCATTTATATAACAGGAAAATCATTCATCGATATATATAATAAATGGTGCAATAAGGATTTTAATTTACGGGAAAGACTAGCGTGCAGAGATGAATTCCCACCGACGCCCCCGGATAGACCACCAATGAATTGTCCACCACAGAAATAAATTACGTAGAAAGTTCTAGAATATAAAGAAATAATCACAACAATTTGAAACCATTACACATTTTATTAAACATGCGTTTGGTTATTTATATTCTTATGATAGTCATTCATAGTTAAAACTATTGTTAATAGTGGCAATGAAACGCAATCCCTACTAATATTATAAATGCGACAGTAACTCTGTCTGTCTGTTTGTCTGTTACGCTTTCACGCCTAAACCACTGAACTGATTTTAATGAAATTTGGTACAGACATAGAGTTGACGCTGAGAAAGAACATAGGATAGTTTTTATCCCAGAATTTTGAAAGGTTCTCTTGGAAACGCGATATAACCGAACTCCACGCGGACGAAACTGCTGGCGTAATGCTAGTAGTATATGAAACTGCTTAAATTTATTTGTCTAAAAGCTGCAGTAGGTGATACATAATTTACGGAAGAATGAAAGAACGAGAGAATGATAGAATGAATGAATGATGAAAATGTTAGTACAAAATCTTTGAAGCATAAGAATTTTAGTACTCCTTATGACTAAGAGATGAATGATGATGATTAAATATCTGTTCGTAAAATTAAATGAAATTATTATTGAAAGTTAAATGATATGATAAAGCATATCATATCCCTTAAAAATACATTGGTATCATATAATTTATATACATATAATTCTACCAACATAATATAAAAAGTGATCTTTCAGAATAGCTGAAGTTATACAAAATTATACAAAGATAATAATTTCTTATGTAGGTATAATTTTATCAAGTTTTTTATTCATATTCAAACTGATTAATTTATTTCGTTAATTGCGTAATAATAATGAAATATTTTCGAATATTTCGGTGTGCTACAATTAAATATATATATATAATTTTGTTTAGTTGCTGTTTGAGAATCTATTAATAAGCCTTTATTCTAACAACAAAATACAAAATTGCTGAAGCATTTTTAACCTTTATACATGTTTATATTTATATATATACTTTAAAAATTAAATATAATTATTTTTGGCAGTATCAAAAGCTATATATTTATAATTATAATCGATACGAAGAAATATTACGGAGATAATGAGAATTTCCGTTCACATCTGTGATAATATAGATTTAAATAGCTGTCCCAAACAAAATATATATATAAATTATAAACGAGCATATTAATTGTGTGAGTATGTTTGTCATTTTACAGATTTTGATGAAAACTTTATAATAACCTTATAATTTGTCTTGAAATACCATGTAGTTATCTAGTATTAGAACATATGTAATAATTGTATTTTGAATGAAGTCTCGTGACACTATACAAGTCAGTAATAATGAATTTATTATTTTAATACTTAAAAGAAGAGGCGAAACCTCTCATCATTCCATGTATTCACGGTGCGTGTGTCGGGTCCATCGTTGTAGTGAGAGGAGCTTCAACAGTGACTGGGACTTGTGACCCAGGTGTAGGTTTAATATATATAGAGAGACGAAACCTCTCATCATTCCATGTATTCACGGTGCGTGTGTCGGGTCCATCGTTGTAGTGAGAGGAGCTTCAACAGTGACTGGGACTTGTGAACCAGATGTAGGTTTAATATATATAGAGAGACGAAACCTCTCATCATTCCATGTATTCACGGTGCGTGTGTCGGGTCCATCGTTGTAGTGAGAGGAGCTTCAACAGTGACTGGGACTTGTGACCCAGGTGTAGGTTTAATATATATAGAGAGACGAAACCTCTCATCATTCCATGTATTCACGGTGCGTGTGTCGGGTCCATCGTTGTAGTGAGAGGAGCTTCAACAGTGACTGGGACTTGTGACCCAGGTGTAGGTTTAATATATATAGAGAGACGAAACCTCTCATCATTCCATGTATTCACGGTGCGTGTGTCGGGTCCATCGTTGTAGTGAGAGGAGCTTCAACAGTGACTGGGACTTGTGACCCAGGTGTAGGTTTAATATATATAGAGAGACGAAACCTCTCATCATTCCATGTATTCACGGTGCGTGTGTCGGGTCCATCGTTGTAGTGAGAGGAGCTTCAACAGTGACTGGGACTTGTGACCCAGGTGTAGGTTTAATATATATAGAGAGACGAAACCTCTCATCATTCCATGTATTCACGGTGCGTGTGTCGGGTCCATCGTTGTAGTGAGAGGAGCTTCAACAGTGACTGGGACTTGTGACCCAGGTGTAGGTTTAATATATATAGAGAGACGAAACCTCTCATCATTCCATGTATTCACGGTGCGTGTGTCGGGTCCATCGTTGTAGTGAGAGGAGCTTCAACAGTGACTGGGACTTGTGACCCAGGTGTAGGTTTAATATATATAGAGAGACGAAACCTCTCATCATTCCATGTATTCACGGTGCGTGTGTCGGGTCCATCGTTGTAGTGAGAGGAGCTTCAACAGTGACTGGGACTTGTGACCCAGGTGTAGGTTTAAGGGACCCTATCTAACGCGTTAAACGCTCACCTCCACCGTCCAAGCTCTTCTCTCTATCAAATTTGAAAAGAACCTACTAGGGCTGCCTTCGATGTACGTTCCAAGAAAGCATTAATGTGAGTTCTGGACAAGCCCAAGTCTTTTAGTAGGTTGTAGACAGATTTAGCTGTCATACCTCTCACTCCCACTTCTACGATGATAAATTAAACGCTCACCTCCACCGTCCAAGGTCCTGTCTATTTAGCCTCTTGAGAAATCTTACAGACAAAGTCGCAGTCTAAAATATGTATTATAATAATAATTATAGTACATCTGTAACATAATATTGCATAACTTTATCACATATAATGTACAGAACGGTCACATAAAGACGGCCACAGACCACTCCTAGATAAGTCGAGACCATTTACGTTGTACTGAGCTCATAAAAATACTCGCTTATCACCAGATTAAGACGTATGATATGACGTCATTATATAGTTATATCAAGAAACTACCTACATACTAAATTAAACTTTATATATATATAAATAAAGTTGATATTAAAATGATAATTATTCACCCAATTCGACGTTTATTGCAGTCCAGTTTTATATTGTAGCAGCGCGGGTTTTTAATTTACAATTCCTATTTTGCGTATATCTTATTAAATTTGTAATCAATTTTGAACCTTATTTATATTGGGATAAGAGTGAAAAAGATAAAAGGTGGCTGATAAATAAATAACTCTCAAAGCCAGTTCACACTTGGTAGTTATTTTAGAATTTATTGTTAAAATGTTCCTTGTAAGTTTTTAATATCTGAGAGCTAGGTCGCGGTTAATGTAGGTCTACTTGTAAATTAAATATATATGTATATATATATTATAAAAATATGTATGTATGTATATATACATATATGTTACTCATTGTTTTATACGAGAAACGTTTTTTAGTATGAGTAAATTGAATACAAACTGACAGTTTGTTCGTCATATATATATAAAGATACAGATTTTTGTCACTGCCATTGATTCTTAAGTAAATATTCATTTGCCTTACAAAAGTAATGATACATTTATACTGTTAGTACGACGTTTTTGTTTAACTAATACTATGACTATTAAAAATCATTTAGTTTTCGTCATTCGTATACTTTTAAATTATTTAATTAATTATTTTTCCATGTATAGAAATCAGATTTTGTTAATAAAAATCTAAATAATATTACATTATGTTTGTTAAAGTTAATTTTTTTTTAATTTTTCTAACATCGCTTTAACTCCGTCATGTAATTTGTAATTTAAATTAATTTTTATACTAAACTCACCTTCCGTGAAAGTTTTTTCTCCATATTCAATAATGTTAATTAGTTAACATAATAGCTGTCGTTAAAACGCAAATTAAAGGATTTTATTTGAAAAAATTAATTCAAAATAGTATATATGTAGATTTGATTTTGAAGTCATATGTACTTTCTAAGAGTATTTAGACATCACTGATTAATGCATTCCCAATGAGGGTTGATGTCTCAGGCGGGCCGGTCGTAAAAACAATTAGCCAAAACTATTCACAACATGTAAGGCAGACCCTGGCTGAAGTTGGGAAATTGCCAGGTAGAAGAAGAAGAAGTATAAGTAGTTTCTATACATTAGTTGTAACTAGAATAATTTCTACTAATAATTCAAGTATAACTCAGTAAACATGTTAAATAGAAAATATAAAGTTTCTAAAGAAAATACCATTATAATGATTTATATGAGATTTAAAGAGAAAATATTTGTCATGACTCACGAGAATATCTAAGAGCTGAAGTTATTGAAATAACTTTACTATGAAAAATTTACTTACAAATACACACACACACACACACACGCGCGCACATTAACACACACACACACACATATTGATCTCACTGAAAACCTAATTATGAACTAACTAAAAAAAATGTCTAATAAAAATTATCCCCAATCATTGTCATTTGCATCTCATTATATTGACAACCTCATAAATATAAAACCTCCATACAGCCTCGCACTTTAAAAGCGACTCACGCTTGACGCTGACGTCATCAGTAATTAAATGTTCATTAAAACATGGAATGGAATTTAAATTTATTTAATGTCATCATTACAAGGGAACGCTCGATTTTTATGATGCCATATAAAATTATAATAAAGTCACACTGGTTTATTTAACTGGCAATTAATCGTGGTGTTGCCATACGTTTATTTTTATATAATATACTTATATAACTGTTAATTTACTATCAATAATGTGAGTTGTTGTATTTTTTCGCAAACAATTTCTAGTAAAATAAAAAAAAAACGTCTTAAAAAGGATTTTTTTTTATTCGCATCGAATCCTATTTATTATACAACCTCTTTGCTGTGATATAAAATCTGGATGTACAATTCATGCCCAGTACAGTTTTGTGGGAGTCAATTTATTTTTTACTACATACAGGTAATAAAAAATTACACGCATTTGCCTCAATTAGTCAATAGCAAGTAATTACGATGGTGTCAAAGGTCAAGATAAATAAATGAAATAACAATAGCCGTGCCATACTAGGGATTTAATACGACTTCA